CATATTAATGGGTTGGGGATAAAGAATTAGACAGACGTAACACGACGGGAAAGCTTGCTTACCTAACACCTATAAATCTTTGTTGAAGGAGGGTCTTCTCCCAGAAACAGCAGCTAATCAAACATATTGGAAAGGAAGATGTCGTCATCCTACTGATTTCATTTGGTTGCATTCCAAGGGTGATGTTATGGACAGCAGTGAGATTATGCTATGGAACAACCTCCACATGGAGAGCCACACAGGATTGGGGGCTAAACCAACTCTGTCGACCCCATGGCTGAAGTCAGCAGTGTCCCTTTGCCCAACAGAAACCCAAAAACAGCCTTCTTCCCTCCACAATCCCTTTCCTTTCTGTGGTTTGGTTGGAGTGCTTTTGTTTCCTTCCATCTCTGGTTACCTTGGTTTTTTATGTCTAAACAGACACAGCAGGATGGCATGGGCATATATTAAGACATGAGTGACAGACACACTTAGGGGCTGTTCCCTGGGGGGATGGAGTGTCCTGTGCACAGCCAGCCCCTATTATTATTATTATTATTATTATTATTATTATTATTCCCAAAGTTCTAGACAGGAAGAAGCTTCTGTGCCTCTTTTGCATTTACTTCCAGGGTAAGGAAGTATAGAGCAAAGGTTTTGAGCATGGGGTGGGGGGGTGGAAAAATGCTGTTTATTGTGTGATGCCTTATCTTTGTGAAGACAGCTGAAAATAACCTCAAGGTTAATGGATTTATGGTATTGCACAGAAACAGATGTGTATTATATCCACAGTATCAGAGATGCACAATTTACTTCCTTATACAGTGGTACCTCAGGTTACATACGCTTCAGGTTACATACGCTTCAGGTTACAGACTCTGCTAACTCAGAAATATTACCTCAGGTTAAGAACTTTGCTTCAGGATGAGAACAGAAATCGTGCTCTGGCGGCGCAGCAACAGGAGGAGGCCCCATTAGCTAAAGTGGTGCTTCAGGTTAAGAACAATTTCAGGTTAAGAATGGACCTCCGGAATGAATTAAGTACTTAACCCGAGGTACCACTGTATACCCTTTGCTACAGGGGGGATTATTATTATTGTCATTTTTTAAAATGAACTTGTTTCTAGTTTCCAGTGGAATCAAAAGAAGCCCCTTAGAAATATAGTGGCAACGAGTGGATGGGAGACCTGTTCTTTGGGAGTGTGTCATATTTGAAGGGGTCGGGTCTCCTGCATCTCCCAAACAGTGAGATTCAAACTTTCCAGAAATGGGTAGAATTGCTATCAGTCCTGGATATGTAAAAAGGTACAAGAATGTTGGGAAATGATTTATAATGAGTTAAAAAAAAAGTTTTAAACTACTTTCCCCAAAAGACCAGCGTCCTTTCTACTGGGAATAATCCAGACAAATCCCTAGGTGTCAGGAAAGCTGATTGCTGTACGCAACAACAGCGGCCCGTGTTTTTCTATCCCCCAAATGGAAAGTGAGCGAGGTCCCTCATAAAGAGGACTGTCAACTTAAGATGTTAGAATATGCAGAACTTGCAGGTTTAACAGACAGAATAAGAAACCAAGAAGAACGTCTGTTTAAAGAGGATTGGAAAATATTCATTGAATATATGGATAACCACTGAACTCAGCTGGAAACGTTGGCAGCATGAAGATAAATTCAACAGTGTAAGTAATAATTGATTGTTGTAAAAGTGGAAATCTGATCTGAATGGTGAAGGTAAAATATGCAGGAGTAGAGGACGTACAAAATGAACCATGGAAGGAGAAGAAGGGAAGTCATTGGATATTTTAAAGTTCGTAAAATGATTATTTTGAAATGTCAAAAATGAAAATCTAATAATTTATTTACTTTTTTAAGAACTGCTGTCAGACTACCCAGGCTTCAGCCATGTATGCTGCAGTGCAGAAGAAAAAGCTACTGGTAATATGCTGTAACGCCCAGGCTGCCCTAAGTTGGGTAAAGAACTGCAGAACGTTTCTCTTGTGGACTTTGGTTGAGAATCTGAAGGCAGGAATGAGTTTGGAAGTGAACCATAAAAAGATTGATAAGGTTTCAGAGTTTCATATATTGGGCGGGGGGGACAAATATGGGAAAACAAAACAAATAAGCTTTGTGCCACAAAGAAAGCTCACAGTTCTTAGGAAAGATTGCTACTTCGGTGTGACTAATCAGTTGGCACAGTTCTTTTTTTTTCCTGTTATGAATTCAAGTCCATCTATGTTTTCTATTACCCTAGAGACTCTCTAACCATCCAGACAGTACAGACAAGGCAATATATTTTCAAGTGTCTGAAGCAGACTGCTTTGGGATCAAATATCTGATGTTGGGCTGCAGCAACTTGCTGTGTGTAACCCACTTCCTTCTCTCGGGAAGATCCCAATTGGGCTGCAGGATGCGCACCAGAAACATTTTGTTGAAGACTTTCTGGATTGTTGCCGTTCCTCCTGTTGCTGGGCAAATATCTGGAGGGAAAGACCCATGCAGTTCAAGGGTTCAGGCCAATGTCTGAAAGCGTGAAGCTGCCACACTGGCATTTGCAAGAGCGGATCGTTAGCCCGTGTAATCTTGTTGCTTGCAATAGTCTTTCTGGGAACTGTAGTTTGTTAAGGGGCTGGGAACTGTAGCTCTGTGGTGGGTAAACTACATTTTCCAGGATTCCATAGGGGAAGGCATATGCTTTATTTATGGGGTGCACACAGCCTCTATTGTTGTTTAGTCGTTTAGTCGTGTCCGACTCTTCGTGACCCCGTGGACCAGAGCACGCCAGGCACTCCTGTCTTCCACTGCCTCCTGCAGTTTGGTCAAACTCATGCTGGTAGCTTCGAGAACACTGTCCAACCATCTCGTCCTCTGTCGTCCTCTTCTCCTTGTGCCCTCCATCTTTCCCAACATCAGGGTCTTTTCCAGGGAGTTTTCTCTTCTCATGAGGTGGCCAAAGTATTGGAGCCTCAGCTTCACGATCTGTCCTTCCAGCCTCTATATCTGCATTATAATAAAACAGATGTGTTTAAAATAAACAGATGTGTTTATTTCTCTTTCTGTGTTTATGCAAAAATAAAGAGTAAATTAAAAAAATAAAACCTATGCAGGCAGCGCTGAGTAGGGTTACCAATGAGCTTTTAAGCACCGGAGTTATGTGCTGGCAATAGTCTGTCCCCACCAACAGTCTAGCCTCTGTTTTTCTGCACTCCTTCCAAAGAAATTAACATTCTGGTAATTCTGTGACCAGATTTTAAAGTATGACTGCTGCAGACTTATTGAGAGAGAAGAGAAATCCTGTTGATACGTAGGAAGTTGGATTCCAGAGAAGATGGGAGAGGAAGAACTACAGTGGTACCTTGGGTTAAGAACTTAATTTGTTCCGGAGGTCCGTTCTTAACCTGAAACTGTTCTTAACCTGAAGCACCACCTTAGCTAATGGGGCCTCCTGCTACCGCCGCGCCGCCAGAGCACGATTTCTGTTCTTATCCTGAAGCAAAGTTCTTAACCCTAGGTACTATTTCTGGGTTAGCGGAGTCTGTAACCTGAAGCGTCTGTAACCCGAGGTACCACTGTACATCACTCCCCAAAACACAGTGCTCTGTCCAGGACATTTCCCACGGGTTCAGATCCCACACGAAAGGGCTGCCACAGGGAGGATGTTTTCTTCTGCTCTGGAGGGTAGGATAGGACCTGAACCAATGGATTCAAGAAAGGAGATTCCAACTAAACATCAGAAGAACTTTCTGAAAGTTAGAGCCTCTCTACAGTGGAATAAACGTCCTGCGAAGGTGGTGGACTCTCTTCCCTTGGAGGGTTTTAAGCAGAGGCTGGATGGCTATATCTGTCATGGATGCTTTAGTTGAAATTCTGGCATTGCACAGAGGTTGGACTAGATGACCCTCAGACTCCCTTCCAACTCTATGATTCTGTGATTCTGTGAACTTTCTCCCTGCAAAAAACCCCCCACCACTCCAGGAATCAACTCTTTCCAAACATCACATTTCTGTTCTCAGCTTAAGACTGCATAATAAACATGCCCGTTTAAACAGCGCCACAGCTAGAATGCTCAAAATAACAATTAAAAACAGGGGATTTTTTTCTTTTTCTTCTAGAGCTGATGAAATGCCAATACTGAAAGGCATTTCAGTAGGGTGGCAGACCCAACTGATGGAATATGCAGAAATGTCAAGACTGACGGGAGAGATCAGAAGCCAGGAAGACCAAGTATTCTTGAAAGACTGGAATAACTTTCTAATATATTTGAGAGACCACTGTAAACAGCTGAAATCATTGGCAGGAATACAATGACACTCGTAAAGTAACATGAATTTTCGATTCTATGATTATATAATAGATAAAAGGTAAAGGGACCCCTGACCATTAGGTCCAGTCGTGACCGACTCTGGGGTTGCGGCGCTCATCTCGCTTTATTGGCCGAGGGCTGGCGTACAGCTTCCGGGTCATGTGGCCAGCATGACTAAGCTGCTTCTGACGAACCAGAGCAGCTCACGGAAACGTGGTTTACCTTCCCGCCGGAGCGGTACTTATTTATCTACTTGCACTTTTGACGTGCTTTTGAACTGCTAGGTGGGCAGGAGCAGGGACCGAGCAACGGGAGCTCACCCCATCACGGCGATTCGAAAAGCCGACCTTCTGATCGGCAAGTCCTAGGCTCTGTGGTTTAACCCACAACGCCACCCACGTCCCATATAATAGATAGATTACAGTAAAATATGCAGGAATAAAATTTAGAAATGGAACCCATGGAGGGAAGGAAGGAGGTCTGAAGGTTCGAAAGAACCCCTTTTTAATGTTGAAAATGTTATGTTTGTTGTGCACAAGTTTTATGTAAAACTAATTTAAAATTAGGCATACATATATGCACATTTCAGTAGGGAGAGCATTCCAAAATACTGGTGAAAAGCCCCTCTTGCATGTTACCATGAGCCAAGAATCAGGCTGTGACAAAACTAATTGGGTTCCACTAATTCATCTTAACACTCTTACCAAACAGTCGAGGGGAAGAAGGGCCTTGTTGTTCTTAGTCCTGGTTCTTACTGAGGTGGTAAACACATGCCTAGGCTCTGTCACTTGAGGCAACAAGTTTGGACACATCTCGTTGAATGTCCTTCCATACAACAAGCATCCATTTCTATGGAAAACAAGCAAGATAGGAAGAGGTTAGAACAGTGGTTCCCAACCTTTTTTTGGCCATGCCCCACCTAAGCATCTCTAAAATCCTTATGCTCCCCTCCCTCAGTGACATAAAATTCTTATGATTCAAAAAGTGAACTGCTGTTCACATGGAAGAAGCCTAAAAGGCCATTAACCTGGTCTAAACAAGCTCCCAAAGAACATGGCATCCATGAAAGAGAAAAATAAAAGAACGAAAGGATGGTTGAAGTACCGAGGGAGAAATCACTAAGAAATTGTTAAAAAATTAATTGTAATATGAAGTGATATGAAAAAATAGCAAATCAAGTTTCAAAAAATATAATAGAGAACTGAAATGCATAAATATAAAATAATTTTAATGAAAGCTTTTTCTTTAATACTTTGATCATTTTAAATGCTATACAATACAATAAAATAAAGGTACCTAACAAATTCAAAATACAATTTGAGCTCGCTAGTTAGATCCTTGTGCTTCATGCCTGCTGCAGAGAGATTTCATATTAAACACCAATTTTGTCAGCTGCAGTCTCAAGTCACCTCGTTTAGTGATATCCAGTCGATTTCTTTTCAAGTAGGGTTCATGGAACAAGACAATGCCCAATTAAATCTAGAAAGCCAGATGTTACTGGGAAGTGTTAGAATATTGTCTTTTTCTCAAATAAATTTTTATTATTTTCCTTAAACATACTTTTACAATACAATACAGTAAATCACATAAATACTTTAGCTCTGCCGAGCTTGCAACTTCCCTCCATCCCTTCAGCGAGTATCCCTTATTTTCTTGTATCACGTATTCTATTTATTTACCATATCTGCCATACATTATAAGAGCTATTTCAAACCTGCCAGTGTTTTTAAAGCTTTACAATTGCCTTTTATATACATGATAAATTTACTCCAACTTTCTTGAAACCTCTGGTCGTCCTGGTCTTGAATTTTTCCCGTCAGTTTGGCTAACTCTGCATAACTCATCATTTTCGTCTGCCACTCCGCAATAGTGGGAATTTCTTGCAATTTCCAGTTTGGGGCAAGCATATTTCTTGCTGCAGCTGTGGCGTACATGAAGAATCTTTGATCCACTTTCTTAATTTCCTGGGAAGTGTTAGAATATTGTATTGTTCCATGAACTCTACTTGAACACTATGCCTGTCAATGGAAGGCACTGCTAACAGTGTCAAACAGTGGTCTCTCTACAACGACCAGGAGGAGAGCATTTAGTGTGGCAGTGCCAATTTATGGAATTCCTTCCCTATCGACCTTAAGCAAGTTTCCTCTGTATGATTCAGATGTTAAACATGTTACCGTTTAGCCAAGGGTAAGGTAAAGGTAAAGGGACCCCTGACCATTAGGTCCAGTCGTGGCCGACTCTGGGGTTGTGGTGCTCATCTCGCTTTACTGGCCGAGGGAGCCGGCGTACAGCTTCCGGGTCATGTGGCCAGCATGACTAAGCCACTTCTGGTGAACCAGAGCAGCGCACGGAAACACCGTTTACCTTCCCGCCGGAGCGGTACCTATTTATCTACTTGCACTTTGATATGCTTTCAAACTGCTAGGTTGGCAGGAGCAGGGACCGAGCAACGGGAGCTCACCCCGTCGCGGGGATTCGAACCGCCGACCTTCTGATCAGCAAGCCCTAGGCTCTGTGGTTTGTTTGGTGGTTTTTTTAAATAATTTTTATTAACAGGCCAATTAAATCACATTAATTCCAAATTATACAGCCAAATTTTTAAAATTTTTGTTGGGGTTACCCATACTTCAAGCTCCGAAAGGGGTCCAAACATCACTCTTGCTGCTGCTTTGATTAAACAGTTCTATCCAGTTCTGTCCAGATAGTCTTTTTGTTATTTTCTTCATCTTCTTGTTGTTATCATATATTCCTTTCTTTGTGATCTCTGATAATCTTCACAAGCGGGTGAAAGACAAACATCTCCTGTGTGGGTTTTACACTCTCCAATAGTCATATCACATAAAGGACAGACACCATTTCCACACCTCCGTTAAAAATATTCCCACAGTCTGTCCGTTGATTCACAGGCTTGCCAATCTATATCTCAGAGGGCCCTGCCAGGTCAAGATAACATTCCAATAACCATACATTCACATTCCAATGACCCTGGTTCTCCTCCCTCTCGTCCTCCTTAGGCAAGCCTGTCTCACGAAACTCCATTTATAACTGCGTCATAAAACTTTCCTTCCATTCCCCGATGTTTCCACCAGTCCTCTCTTTAATCAGTAATTCATTCCCACACAGTTCTTGGTCTCCTGCTTGTGATTAATAATCGCAACGATTCTTCTCTCTGGAGGGGAGGGTTATTGGTACTCACATAAGACACAAAAAGAAAAGTTTTTTTCTCCCCCTCCTTTCCGTTTCACTCCGACATACCAGTCTTTTAATGATGATTCTTCACTTGATTTATTTTTCCAGCCCGTCGCTCCGCTCACAGAGATCCCATTGATCAGCAGTCTTTACTCCCAATCTTCACTTGATGTATGTGCATTAGCTTCTTTCCAATTATATATTTCCAATTATATATTTCGAGCTAATGTGAACCAGTGTGCTGATTAGAGACAGCGTCAGGGAGAGCCGACCTCACTCGAGGGCTTCGTGCCAAGTGTCCACACCCCCTTCTTTCTAATCCGGGGGTGAATTATGGACACAGCTGGCAAGGCAGTCCCCCCCCAATCCCCTTGGGGGGGCAAGGAAGGCTACATACTCCCATAGCAGCCTCTTAATTACCTCGTGTGGGTCGGAGAGATGTTATTGTCGGCCATCTTCCAATGCGCCCCCTGGTGGCCCCCTAGGCTCTGTGGTTTAACCCACAGCGCCACCTGCGTCCCTTAGCCAAGGGTAAATGTGACCAATTTTGCTTTCTCATTCCCTCCTCCCCAACTCTCAGCTTAGCTCTCCACATTTCTGCATCAGCTTGCGATTTTCTTTTAAGTCCTACAGAAAAGCGACCAGCATTTTATCATGCGAATTTATGCACCATTTTGCAAGACAATCCCAATATAATGCATTTATATATGTTGTTTTCATCAATATATGCATTCATATGCACATTTTAGTATATGCATTTTTTGGGGTAAACATTGCACAGCATTGCAAAATTTGGAGAAACAAGGATTTTGGAAGATGATTGTGTTTTGGTTTATGTACTATTCTTAAAAAATGTGAATTAGTGTAAGTACACCTTTAAATGTGATCTGAATTAGGGTTGCCATATATCTGGAATTTCCCAGACTTAGCCAGTATTCAGACCTCAAAAGCAGCGTATGAAAGCCCATGTTGGTAGTGTAGATTTTGGCGAACGTCATACAAAATTACTCAAAAACTCTCTCTCTCTTTTTTTAGTTTTTGGAAGAAAAGCTCAACAACTTTTTGTGTCCAGGTTTTCACTTTTTGAAATATGGCAACCTTGTCTGAATTAAGGGCTTAGTTACAGGATGCCACCCCCATTTCTAAAGAGCATCATGGTAACCAAGCTTTGAGTCGACCGTATTGCAATCCAGGCTTCTTCTATGTCTACACAGTACCCTCAGATAACCTGCTCAAAACAAGATAGAAACCTGTGTGCTGAACACTGAAGAAAGAGACTAAATGAAGCTGGAAGGGTGGGGGCAGGGTGCTCTGCCACTGTAGTCTTTTAGTGAATAAATTTTGCATGTTGGCAAATGAATTATTCTGCAGGAATGAATAAATGAATGATCTAAGGCACAATAGAAAAACCCAGAGGCGATTAAAGATGTGTGCGTGGGCATGTGACACCAGCAGGCCTATGCTGCTAAATCAGGTTGTGCGTGTAGCAGAGTCATGCATAACTCCTTCAGAGCATTACCCTTGAATGATGCTAGGCTGGTGATTTTTAAAGGAAACTACCAAAATTGTATGCTTAGGGTTACACTGTTAGTTTGAATGTGGGGAATACAAAATTCAAATTGATACTCAGGTATGAACCTCACTGATGGGTAAGTTTATATCTCTTAATGTTAAGCACCTTACAAGGTTGTTGTGGCCTCCTTGCAGGATAGGAGCATCGTAAAAATGATAAACCCCTAGCTCAGGCTTCCTCAACTTCAGCCCTCCAGATGTTTTTGGCCTACAACTCCCATTATCCCTAGCTAGCAGGACCAGGGGTCAGGGATGATGGGAACTGTAGTCTCAAAACATCTGGAGGACTGAAGTTGAGGAAGCCTGCCCTAGCTCATATTTGTTACTATTTCTATCCTCTCGTTCAAGTTTCTCATTTATCCCATGGAAATAATTTAATAGGTTATTGTATTTTAGTGCTCTGTTGGAAGCCGCCCAGAAACTCTGTTGGGAAACCCAGCCAGATGGGCGGGGTATAAATAATAAAGTATTATTATTATTATTATTATTATTATTATTATTATTTGACGTAACTTATTTGATTTAATGACAACCCCTTCCTTTTGTTGTTTTAAGACCAAGGTTAAGGTGCTCCCATATAGGCTCACACTCTACAAAGCTAAGGAAACTGGAAGCTAAGGCTGATTCCTTAACAAGACGTGTCTCATGATCAGCAATGACGTTGTGCAATGTCAACAAATTGTGCTAGCTTATAAGAGATCAAAATGATGGACAGTTTGTGGAAGAATGGAGGTCTCTTTTGGATCATTATTTTTTTGGGAGGGGGATCACAACCAAATTAAATCACAGGCAGCAGTGCTTTTTCTAGAAAAAGAGGTGCCAGAAATCACCATGAAATCACCCTTGTTCTCATATAGTGTCAATGGTGCCCACCTGAGAGGTGCCAGAACTGAGTTCCGGCTGAAAAAAGGCCCTGACAGGCAGGATTTGAAATTTGAGAAACAGGAAGCAAATGATAACATATGAAACAAAGAAATATGTATTAGATGAAATGTGTGATATTATGAAGTATGTGGAAGGGATGGGTATAAAAACAGTGTGGAAGGAAAGGTGGGAAGTCAAATTCTAAGAGAAATGTATAACAAATTTGAAATTAATTGGTTAAAGTTGTGAAAATTTAATAAATATCTTAAGGGGGGAAAACCCACAATTGTGCCAGCTTACAATTTACCGTCTGTGCACCCACATGACGGGAATCTATCCCCTTTCCCTCACTTCTGTGCCCTTTTAACATGGATCCCTTTCTGTTGTTTGTGAAGTATAAAGTAAAAAAAAAAATAAATGCTTTGCAAGAACATCTCAGGTACAACCAGAGCAAAGCTGCAGATGGGTGAGGGAACACATATGGTAAAAGCTTTGTCAAACCCAGCAAAACACACACGCACACACTTTTTTCTCAGAAAAGCAATACAGTACAGGAGACAAATTGCCACAGATGATTCCAAGGCCGTGGACGCTTGGGTTGCGAACGTGATCTGTGCAGGATGCACATTCACAACCCACAGAGTTCGCAACCTGCAGCGGCGCGCCTGTGCACACGCACGTTGCGATTCGGCAGTTCTGCGCGTGCGCAAAGTGCGATTTAGTGCTTCTGCGCATGCACGACTGCCAAAACCCGGAAGTAACCCGTTCCGGTACTTCTGGGTTTCGGTGTGTCCGTAATCTGAAAAAACGCAACCTGAACCGTCTGTAACCCGAGGTATGGCTGTATTATGAATTAAAGAAAATACTAGTGGGTAGGTTTGCCGTATTTCAAAAAGTAAAAAACAGGACACCCCGAAGGTTATTGAGCTTTTTTTAGACAAACCCCAAATTTGTTGAGCTGTGTTTATGCTTAGACTTGTCTAAGATCCAGAACAAAGTGCCGCCATTCAGAAATTCCCCCAGGATGTCAATTCCGCCTTTGAAATTCCAGTGATTTCTGAATGTAGGGCAGCCCTAGAAATTCCACAAATAGCAAAGTCTTTCCTCAATCACTTGTGGCTTCAGGAGGGAGAATAAAGGTTGTCATCACAGAGGAAGCCATCTCAGGAAAATCTCAGCTCCTTCTTTCCCCCGCCCCTCCAGCCATATTCATTTTAATGGAGAAGTGAAGGATTTTTGCTGGATCACCATTGTGCAATAGACCTTTCATCGAATCAGAAATTTTAATTATTTGTGTGGCAGTTGCACCAGAGAGGCAGAGAGGTAGATTAGATAGCTAAAGCTCAGTAGGTGCAGGAACAATGGAAGCTTGAATATAAAGGGATAAATTTCATTTTACATACTTGTAAAAAGCTGAACATGGATTAAAAGCCATATAAGCAAACTTCGTAGTGTCAGTTGAGTGCTGGTGGTTGCTAGGTTGTGGAGGTCCTTGTGACCCGCCCTTCATTGTGACACCTCCCTCTCCTGGCTCCTTGGTCACTAGGGCTCTAGAGGCGTAGTGATCTCCTTTGGTTTGATCATTCAGCGAGTGAGAGAGAAAGTGGATGGAGGTGTAAGTAGACTTTCTCATCAGCATCTGCATTCTGTGCTGATAATGCTCCATGACAGTCTTAGGGAATGTTTAAAAGATTAAGATCAGGAATAATTTAAATGCTTCATCGGGGAAATGGTGGAGGGGATGAAGTGATGCGACCCTCCGAGCCTAGGAGATAAATAAATATAATCAACTCTTGATAAAAGGTGTGGTATACATACATACATACATACATACAGTGGAGTCCCAAGCAAAGGGAAGATTCTAAGTGCATTTACCTAAGCCCACTTAAATAACCCCTCCCTGCTAAATATGGGAATGTTTGCTATCAAGCTAGCACATGGCAGCCCTATTTAGGGAAGTTTTTAAATGTTCAGTGTTTTATTGTGCTTTTAATTCTGTTGGGAGATGCCCAGAGTGGCTGGGGAAACCCAGCCCGAGGGGCGGGATGTAAATAATTTATTATTATTATTATTATTATTATTATTATTATTATTATTATTTACTATACGATGTTTAGAAGACATCTTACGACAGACCTGTATAAGGCAGGGTTTGTTTTTTAAAAATGTTTCATTATGTTTTTTAAATATGTGGATAGCTGCCCACAATGGCTGGGGAGACCCAGTCAGATGGGCGGGGTATTATTATTATTATTATTAATAACAATAATTTATTTATACCCCACCCCCTCTGGGCGGCTCCCAACAAAATATTAAAAACACTGTAAAACATCAAACATTAAAAACTTCTCTAAGCAGGGCTGCCTTCAGATGTCTTCTAAAAGTCAGATAGTTGTTTATTTCCTTGACATCTGATGAGAGGGCATTCCATAGGGCGGGCGCCACTACCAAGAAGGCCCTATGCCTGGCTATTAAAATATAATAGAATATAATATACAGTGGTACCTCGGGTTAAGTACTTAATTTGTTCCAGAGGTCCATTCTTAACCTGAAACTGTACTTAACCTGAAGCACCACTTTAGCTAATGGGACCTCCTGCTGCCACCGCGCCGCTGGAGCACGATTTCTGTTCTCATCCTGAAGCAAAGTTCTTAACCTGAAGCACTATTTCTGGGTTAGCAGAGTCTGTAACCTGAAGCGTATGTAACCTGAGATACCACTGTAATATAATAATACAATACAATACAATACAATACAATA